AGATGAGAGGATCCAGCGGTCCTTTCATGTGAACATGCTGAAAGAGTACCAGGAGAGACCTGAGAATATAGCAGCAGTGTGTGCCCCAGCTGCAGATGATTCTGAGAATTTACCCCTTCCCGATCTATTAGAAAGGGATTCCCAGACTGACCTTACTACCTTGGTACAGCTAGGGGACCGGTTGAACCCTACAGAAAGGGTACAGGCGCAGCAGTTGTTATGGGAGAAGCAGGCGACGTTCTCCCAGGAACCAGGTTATACCACCCTAGTTGTGCATAAGGTAGAGACCCCTGGACAGACCCCGTTACGACAGCCCCCCTATCGTATCCCTGAAGCAGTCCGTGAAGGAATGCGGAAGGAGATACAGGAGATGACCCAACTTGGGGTTATCGAGCACTCCGACAGCCCTTGGGCCTCGCCTGTAGTCCTGGTGCCAAAGAAAGATGGGACCACCCGGATCTGTGTGGACTACAGGCGACTCAACGAGCGGACCACCACTGACGCCTACCCAATGCCCCGGGTAGACGAATTACTAGATCGTATTGCCAGGGGGCGATATCTGACCACCATAGACCTGTGTAAGGGCTACTGGCAGATCCCCCTGGCCGAGGATGCTATCCCCAAGTCGGTATTTGTCACCCCATTTGGCCTGTACCAATTTAAGGTCATGCCTTTTGGGATGAAAAATGCACCGGCTACTTTCCAACGGATGGTGGATAGACTCCTGGATGGCTTCCAAGAATTTGCCTGTGCATACTTGGACGACATTGCGATCTACAGTGGGTCCGGGGAGGAACACCTGGTACACGTAGGGGTAGTGCTGGATAAGATTAGGGCCGCTGGCCTGACGTTGAAGCCAGAAAAGTGTCATCTAGGTATGGCTGAAGTGCAGTACCTGGGTCACAGAGTGGGGTGTGGGAGCCAGAGACCAGAGCCAGCCAAGGTAGAGGCAGTGGCTAACTGGCCCACACCTACTACTAAGACCCAGGTATTGGCCTTCTTGGGGACGGCAGGGTACTACCGATGTTTTGTCCCTGACTACAGCACTATTGCTAAGCCCCTGACAGACCTGACAAAGAAGAACTTGCCTAAGCAGGTCCTGTGGTCTCCGGCTTGTGAAGCTGCGTTCCAGGCACTGAAGCAGGCTCTTGTGAATGCCCCTGTCTTGGCCGCCCCAGTCCCTAACAAACGCTTTCTCGTCCATACAGATGCTTCCATGTATGGACTGGGGCCTGTGCTGAGCCAAGTCGGGGAAGATGGAGGAGAGCACCCTGTCGCATATCTCAGCAGAAAGTTGTTACCCAGAGAAGTGAGTTATGCGGCAGTGGAGAAGGAGTGTTTGGCCTTGGTCTGGGCATTGAAAAAGTTAAGCCCCTATCTGTATGGACAAGAGTTTTCCCTGGTGACTGATCACAACCCACTCGTTTGGCTTAACCGGGTCTCAGGAGACAATGGGAGACTGCTGAGATGGAGCTTGGCCCTACAGCCCTACAATTTTACCATCAGCTACAGACCCGGTAAGCTAAACGGAAACGCAGATGGGTTGTCACGACAAACAGACGTTTCCATCACCTCGTAGTCCGGTCATCCCCAAGTTAACCCGCCACAGGGTCAAGCCGGGTCTGCCGGAGTGTCCCACAAGGAGGGAGCCGTGTGACAGAACCATCTGTCTGCTGGATTTTTGCCCGTTCGTCTGTTTGTCCCCGTTCGTATGAATGGCTGGTTTCTATAGCCCAGCCATTCGAATGACTCTTTTTTCCGAACAAAACCGCCGAACGAACGGCCACCCAAGTGAGGAGTGTGCTGCAGGTTAACGAAGTGATCACCATTATAACGTTGTGGTTAACCGCAGACACTTCTCAATTAAGCCGAACTCAGGGTGGTCGTCGTTCGTATGTCGACCACGAGGCAGCGGCCATTTTAAATCATGCGAACGCTCAGCGGTGTTTGGCTCTATTTCTATGGAACGGAAAACGGACACTTTTTCTGTCGAACACCGCTGAAACAAGGGAACGCTTGGCTGCCTCCACGAAAGCATGCGAACATCGGCCGTTCGGGAGATTGAGAACACACAAAAGACTTAACCCAGATAGCCCACCCATGGAGTCATTCGTGTACCGAAGGACTGTAAGAACTTTGACTCCATGGCGATTGAACTATGTGTGTGGGATCTGAGTGCTATTCGCCAATAATATGCACTCAGACCCAGGCTATCTGGGGACATGTAATACGAATGGGAAATGTTCAGTTTTCATGTAGTTATGTATTTTTGTGTCTTTTATTATTTCATGTTTAAGATGGCGACTGTCCTTGTCCTGGAGTTAATTGAGTTACTTGGTAATTAACTCCAGGACAGGGGGGAGGGAATCAGAATGTACTGTGGGTAAAATATGTGACTGTGTGTCAGAAATGTCCTGCTATCTGTCTGTACTTTAAGTCTTCCATTTGGTCCCCTAGGGGAGTGTCCACCAGGTGGGAGACCTGCATAAATACGGGCAGGTAGCCCACAGTAAACCCAGATCTTATTTGACCCTCAATGCGGAGCTTCTGTCTCGTTATTGGGGGATTTCTTCTTCACGTTTAGAGACTGCTGGATGGAACGAAAGCCGCTTTGGGGATATTATTGTTCGACGGTTCCTAGCAGTTCGTATATTGCCGTTCGGGAGTTTGGAGCCGTTCGTGGATTTCGATCGGGAGATTGCCGCTTCCCCTGCATTTGGTTCGTGGGTTACAGAGTAAGCGAACAGAGACTGTACTGCAGCCGGGGAAGGTTTACTAAACGGCGGTTTGGCTTAAAGACACGGGAGGTGTCTTAACAATAATGAAAGACAACAATTAACATAAACCTCTTTCCTGCCTGCAGAAAAAGCAATATGCAAATCTACCTGGATATGCAAATTAACCAGCCTTGCTATTGAGGAAGTGCATATTGCTGTTGCTACCAACAGAGGGCACTACACAAGCTCCATAGCCAAATCCACTTAGTTGGTAGCAATCCTCAGCAATACAGGAGAGCAGGCAAAACATTTAACAGTACACACACACACACACATTATAAACAATTACATTACACACACCCTGCACCTATAATGGGTACAGGGTGACTAAAACATAGGAAAAGTCCAACAACCTTCATAAATAGTCTGTCTGAAGGTCCAGGTGATGGTGACTACCATTATAGTGTACCTCTGTCTTGTCTCCCTCCAGAGTTGTGTGTACCCCTGTATTGTCACCCTCCATGTATGTACGTAGCAGGGAATGTGGTGCGACTAAAAGAAAGAGACTACCCACTTATCCCCCCAATAACGACAGACAATGCATATTGGATGAAACAGGCCACAGCATTTATTAAAACTTACAAATGTAGGACACATCCAAACTTTATTCTTTTCCTTTAATTCCAATATAAATAAACACATAAATATATATACATACCATAATTAACATAAAAATTAACACTTATTGCCCTACAGCCTTCAACTTAAATAACTGTCCTTGCCAACTAACTTAACCAGGTGCCTATGCACCAAAAACTTTACCCACTGGTGTCTCGCCTCCCCCCTCGTCCAAACCAAATTCCCATCATTTTAAATGCTCTAACCACCAGCCGGCTGTTAGCTCGGTGGGCACGTCCAATTCGGTAACTTGAAAGTTTACCTTACAAAGCAGGGGAGGTTGAGACCTACCTTGTCCATCTCCTGACATTCCATCTGCTCCCCAACCCTGCTGGCAAGGACACGCTCCCCACCACAAACCCCGCTGTTTTAAGCCTAAAATCAGTGGGGAGCCCCACCAAAACCAACCAAGGCCTGTTCCACCGCCTCCTGGATAGCAAGATTAAAGAGGTCGAGCCCGACCTCCGTGAGCTGCATGCCATCACTCCTGAACAAATTAGCTGCCTCCCGCTCAAACACCTTATGGCGCACTGGAATCCCATTTACTCCTAACACGAACTTAGAGACCCTCCGGTTCAATTTAACCCAATAACGGTCCATCGCCCCTTGATTATGGGCATGCTGCCAGTAGTTTCGTGAAATGACCTCTGACCAGACCAGTCGAACGTCAGGGAACAAAACCAATACCCGCGCTAAATCCCTCTTAATTGCGTTCCCCAACCCCCAAATAGGCACAGTCCTGAGATCATTACCCCCCAGGTGATTTACAAGAACTCTAGGTGTACCCAAAAGCCGGGAAAGCTGAACTAGCTCAGGGAGGATCCGGACCCACTTCATACCTCTATTCCCAAACCAGCGAACCTCCGCTTCAGAAGGCGTGCAACCAAGCAGCTCACCTCCCGGACGGACAGCCGCCCGCCGTCTGGCCCAGAAGACATACGAGTGTCCGATCACCCAGACCCTGGGGGGAAAAACTCCCACCTAAGGAGAAAACATCAATTTAGGAGGCGGGAAGGCCGAACATATGAGACAAAATGCCCAGATGCCCACCTCCCAATCCTCTGAACCACTTGCGCCGACATTCCCAGCCTAGAAGCTTCAGTGGCAGCGCCAATCCTAAACGAATGCCCCCCAAACTCCTTACTGTCAACCCCCAATACCTCCAATCCAGAACGAAAAACTCGAATAAATTGAAAATGGGACAGAAAACTCCCATCCTCATGAACCAAAAGTGGGCCTGAGGAAACTGGGCGCAGCCCGCAGAATTCCCAAAAGGAAGCAACCAGGCAAATATCTGAACCAGGGACAGCACCCAACCGCACCCATTTACCCCTTCCAAGGACATCCGTTTTTGACCGTCGTATCAGAAACGAAATCCGCCCCGGCTCGCACTGAACGTCGGCAAACAACACCCCCCACAGCTGCGCTTACTAGGGCTCACCAGTTCCCCAATGCTCATGGCCCCAAAGAATGCCAGCGAATAAGCCAACTTAAACAGCCGGGCCTCAAACACCGAGTAACAGATCTGCGGGAGCACCCCACGGAGTCTTGACAAAAGCACTGCAGAAATTGGCCTCCGTGCGTCAACCGACGCAGATCGGCGTTGCAGTCCCTTAAGTGCCTGACACACAACAAATGCTTTAGTCGAATCTTCCCACCCGCGCAGCTTAAATAGGAAGCTAAGACCAGAGAAACGCGCGGAGATTTCAGAGGGAGACTTACCCTCGGATTCCCAGCGGTCCAAGTGCTGCAGTAGCCCCCCGAGACGCTCGTTTGGGGAACAAAAACCACCCAAATCCAACTCCCATTGCTCCCATTCACCCCACACCTTACTGTAGCGATTCCAGGTGGCCTTGGAAACCGATCCACGGACCCATTCCATCACTCTGCCTGACCAAACAACCAGATGTCCGCCGGGCAAGGCGTCCCCTCCAGTTCCGCCTGCGGGGCGACAGCCCGAAAATCCGACCACTGTGAACGAGAGAGAGCATCCGCCATCACATTGTGAACTCCCGGTATATGCTCTGCCCTACAATACACATTGAGACACAAACATCGGAAAACCAACCACCTAAGCAAGCGAACCACTGGAGTGGAGGAGGCTGTCAGGCGATTAATGGCCTGAACAACCCCCAAATTGTCACTTTGAATGAAACTTTGATCCTGCAAATGTGACCCCCAGACCTCCACCGTCACCAAAATGGGGAAAAGCTCCAGAAAGGCCAGATTCTTCGTGAGCCCAGAGACATGTCAACTGTCCGGCCACACGGCCACACACCAACTAGAGCCCAGAATGGCCCCAAACCCCACCGAGCCAGCCGCATCTGTAAATAGGTGGAGGTCGGCGTTAGAAACCTCCGGCTTTTGCCAATAGGACCGGCCATTGTATGCAGCCAAGAAGGAGTCCCGAACCGCCAAATCATTCCGCAGCGACCGAGTAAGCTGAATTAAATGGCGAGACTCGGAGACCCCGGCCATCGCCGCAGCCAGACCCAGGCTTAAACACCCGCCCCACGGGCATGATCCAACAGGCAAAATTCAGCTTCCCCAGGAGCAGCTGAATCTTGCACCGCCCCATGGCCACGGCCACCTCACGCCGCAAGTCTTGAATCTTATCCAAAGGCAAGCGGCATTCCCCTGCCAGAGAGTCTATCTCAATGCCCAGAAAACTGAGACAAGTGACCGAGCCCACCATCTTGTCGTGAACCAACGGTACCCCAAACCGCTGGAACACCTCACTCAGAACCCGCAGCAGCATTGCACAGGCTGGCGAATTGGGAGATAGCAAGGAGTCTATCCCAGCCTCCTTCCTCACCACCCAGTCCAAGAATGTGCTGAAGCATTCAAAGTAAAAGCAGGATATGGAACAACCCACAGGGAGGCACATATCCAGGTAATACAGGTCTTCGAAAACACAGCCCAGAAGATGGTGACATTCCGGGTGCACCTGCAGCAGACGGAAGGTCGATTCCACATCAGCCTTGGCCAACAAGGCCCCAGGGCTCTGAACATGGCGACCGCTGCATCTAAGGACGCATAAGACACTCAGCAGAGTTCCAAAGAGATGTTGTTGGCACCAATGTAATGGATCATCTGGCACCCCGACTGAGTACCTCCGTTGAAGGATGCTCCT